AAACGTGCCAAGATTTGAATTAATTAATCAGTTAATTAATTAATTAATTAATTAATAATTTGGAATAAGCTGGGATTGGAAATTTCTGCAGTCCAACAAAATTGAATTATGTCACGTGGGAAAAGTCAGACAACATAAATATGAAACTAAATACAACTTCAATGCTCTTCATCAATTTCAATGCCTCAATTTCAAACCCTTCGTATTTAAATTTTTGAATTTTCTTGCCGGCTTTTTAATATTTTATTTTAATTTATTAATTAATTAATTAATTTTTTTAAAAAAGGGAAGAATTACAATGGCTTTAAATTGAACTACGTTGGCAGACGCAGGCAAGAGGACATTAGAAAGCACAAAAACCAGGTCGAATCCAAAACGGTACGTTTTGACCGTACTTGGAATCCAACCAGAAGCTTTCCCCCAAATTTACTGACCGTTAATAAAGCAGATTTAGATTCAGTTCTCTACAATTAATCAATTCGCGTGGGCCCCACCCTACTCGCTTGATCCTTTACTCCCGATTCGGTGTGCACGGGCGTACGCTATAATCCTGAGAGAAAGTGCACAATTCAAGTTGACGCCACTTCATCAAAGGCTGTACGCGTGGCCCCACCGTATCCATTCGATCAAAATTCCCCACCTTCCACCTCCATTTGCAGTTCCAATTGGGGAACATCACCCACCATCGGACCTATAATAATAATAATAGAAAACTAATAATTTCTCTCTTTTAATTTATATATATTTAAAAATTAATTTTACTTAAATATATATATAATATTATTAATAAATACGTATAGTGGCCAAAAAAAAAAAAGGGAGAAAGACAAAATAATAATAGAGTAGTTAAAAAATTAGTGGGAGTACATTAATTATATTTTTATATAAAATTATTATAATAAACAAACATTATATATATATGTTTTATTTTTTTAATTATTTATCTTTATCCATAAATAGATACTAATATCTATAGAACATTTTTATTATATTTACATATATATTATTTATCTTAATTTTAAATTATTTTTCACAATATTAATTTATTTATATTCTTAAAAAGTTACACAATAAATATATAAGAAAATTATTAATATTTTCTTAAAATTAAATGTAAATTTAATTTCTATAGATTCCAAAAGTCAATTTTATTTTTTCATGAATAAAAAAATTTTTAACTCATAATGACTATCCCATTAAAAAAAAATCAAAATTAAAATTTATTATAATTTTTATTTAAATGTAATCATTTAATTAATACATTAATAATAAATTAAATTCTGAATTTTGTTTTTATTGGGCGACGAGAGCTTTTAAGACATCAGTACCTAACATTTTGGCGTTGGCTGCTATGCCACCGGCACCAGCTTTGTAACAGTCAAAATTCGTTTATGACAATTTAAAGACTGTTCGAAACGACGCTGTTTTGTCATTTGCAGACGGCAGAAGTCTGACCGGAGAAGACGATAAGAACATACATAGTAAAAACTGCTCACTCGACTGAAATTGTCAGAATGGAAAATTTACAATCGGAAGAAATTGAAAGGAAAAAAAAAAAAAAAATGGGTGTGTAATAGGACGTCAGTATACAAACCAGTAAATAAATACCTTCCTTACTTCCCTCTGTTATTTTTTTGCTTTAATTTTAGTAAATAAATAATTTAGAACTGTATGAACCATTCAAAGAAGAAGAAGGAAAAATAATATCCCAAGCTGGATGAGAGGGAAGGGCAAAATCGTATCATCGAAGTATGTAATTAGTGCAATCCTTACAGGTGATCGAATGTCAACGGTCGCCGCATTCAACGGTTGTGATTGACTCTCCCTAAATCCACCAGTTTCCTTGACCTGTTCGCGCAAAACGACGCCGCCGTCGAAAGGTGAGGTTTAATCGGACCCGACCTAACCTCTCCGAACGCCATGTCCGCCGGCATGCCACTTTTGCCCCAGTGACGGCTCGGGCTCGCTCTTACCAGCGGACTCAAGCAGAAGGTCAGCCCGGACGCGTTTTTCCCGTGTCCCTGCCGTGTACGTCTCACGGCAGACGGTCCCGACGCCGGTGTTCTCCTCCACTTCCCCGGGGACGCCTCTGCCGAAGACAAACACTCGCAATCCTCCGTGTCCGGCCCCCTCGCTGGTGACATTCCACGATCCATTATCCGGCAAGTTTTCCTATCTCCGGGGATTGCATCTTCTATGTACATCACCGGCTGCTTCTTCCGGCGCACGGAAAAGATAGTCGAGAACCATGAGGAGGGAGAGGAGGAGGATGCGTCGCACGAATAGCGATGACAAACCCCAGGATCCGACGATTTGAGATCGGGACTTAACTTGTCGGATCTGGACCTAAACAGGTTTGACAAGAGAGAAAACCTGGTCGTCTTCTTCCTGTGAGATCGTGAGGCGGTGAAATCGGTGGTGGTGTTGACGCTACCATAAGTGGGACCCACCTGAGGAGTACTGTAGAAAAGAGGATGGTGGTGCCAGGTGTGACTGTCGTCAGATTTACGGCGGGTTACATAAGGGGAAACAGAGCGAGGGAAAACGAGAGGCGGAGGGCGATGATCGTCATAACCAGCAGCGCATGAGTGGGAGTGATGGAGGTGGGTCTGAGCCTGAGCCTGAGCCTGAGCCTGAACCTGAGCTTGAGCCTGAGCCTGAGCCTGAGCCTGGGCGGCGATTAGAGCTAGAAGACGGTGGCGGAGACAAGAACCACAGACCCCGACGCCGCTACTGAGGTCGGTGGGATGTTTCTTACACCTCATCTAATGAGTTAGATTAGTACGGTTGTGGGGATACAAATTGAGGTTGATTTACGTGGTGGGCTTGTCTCGCAGCATTCGTTACAGTGGTGGGCGTTAATGCCGCAAGACGAAGAGATCTGGCGAGGAAACCAAAGAGGAAAGAGTTTGTCTCGTAGCGGAAGAATGAAATTTAAGGGCGTGTTTGGCAGTCTAAACTTTTCATGTACCAGACTCTCCGGGACGACGACCGCACCTCAGCATAAACCTGCTTCCTCTATTGTTTACTCCGAGTGCTACTACCACTGCTTTTATCATCCTCCGAACCCTCGCCCTTATTTTTACGTTTGTGTTTGTGGGCAGACGAAATTATGG